TACTCCTCAGCAAATTAAATCATAAAGACACTTCCACTCTTGACATACTATTAAAACTTCTCTGTAGCCTGAAACTAGTAATTTCTGTACTGCAACATTCTGTGGAAACTTTTCAGTCTTTATTTGACCACTTGAGATAGCATTTGACAAAACTAACCAGTCCTCCTTGAAATATTGTCTTCACTGATTTTCATTTTGTTGCATTCTTCTGGTTTTCTGACTACTGCTTAAGAGTTGAGTGCTGCACGCCTGTAATCCCAACAGCTGGGGAGGCTGAGACATGAGGATCGTGAGTTCAAAGCCAGCCTCAGCAAAAGCAAGGCACTAAGCAACTCAGTGAGACCCTGTCTCTAAATAAAATACAAAATAGGGCTGGGGATATGGCTCAATGGTTGAGAACCCCTGAGTTCAATACCTGGTACCACCCCCAACCCCTGCCCCCCAAATAGAAATTACTGGAGCAATTCTAGACCCTACACTTACATGTTCCTACAGCCTGACTTCTGAAAATAATTATATATGGAATGATTGCAAATCTATATTTATACTTTAAACCATTTTTTAATTCCAGATTCTCATATTATCTGTGCACTTGAATATTCTACTAGTATCTTTTCCAGACACATCAAAACACATCCAAACTGATCTCTTGTGCTCTATGCCCATATTAAACTCTTCTTTCCTTAGAGGCTTTGCTAAGGCCTAGCGTCCTCCAGGTTTCTACTTAAATGCCACTCTTTTGAAAAGACCTTCTTTAACCCTCCTAATTAAATTATACTACTGTATAGCACACCATGTTTTTTTTCTTTCAGATCACATATAACCTATAAACATATTTCTATTTGTGATCTTCTTAATTCTGTTGCCTTCCTGTCTTGCTAGGTTAGAAGCATTTGAGTAGTCTRCGCTCTTTATTAATTCCCTCATCTTTTAAAAATCTGTTCAAAGTATTTTCTTCTCTGGGAGGTGTTTTCTGACTGACAGAAATTTTCCCCTCACAACACTTATAGCCTTCTAACATTTCACATAATTTACTTATATTTATTACTTGTTTTTCTCTTCATCTTAGAATGTATGCTCCATAAAGATTTCTTGTCTGTTTTGTTCATTGATAAATCCCACTTGCCTATCATATGATAAGAGTCCAATAAATATTTGTTGAACATGAGGGGTGGTGTCTGTTTTGCTTCCCACTACTCTAAGCTTAATCAATGTCTGTAGAATTGAAGGTCAGGTGATATAAAATCTACAATAAAATGAAGGATGGAGTAATAGGAATTGTAATGCATTCTGCTGCCATATATAAATAAAAAAACTTAATTAAAAAATAAAAATTAAAAAAAAAGATGAAGGATGGATCCCAGGTATTGTGAATGCATGAATGCTGCATGAATGYTTGCAGATGAAAAAGGCATAATTAATTTAGAATCTAGAAAGAATTCCTATGAGGTTTTTTCCCCCCCAGGACCACCTTTTTCTTCACATTTTAAGAAGTTTTAAGAAATAATAATTCATGATGTAAGCTGAAGAGGAAAGACCACATTCATATCAGTTCCTGGTATAAATTGATGACTAAACCCTCTTCCTGCCACTTATCAGGAGACTAATAAATAGTTTAGGAATGAATGCCTGACCTGTGGAGTAAATCTGTGCTATCAAGGGAAAGACAGTGCAGTGGTGGAAGGAGCCAGGACCTGGAATCATCCAAATGAGGGTGAGCTSTGTTCCCCGCTCTACCATCAGTGAAATCTGGCAACTTTCCTGGGCCTATTTCTTGACCTGGTAAATGAGAAAAAGAAGCCAGAGGATAAAGTTCATCTCAATTAGATGATCTATGTCTAGTTGAGTAAGCTCCCTGAGACTARGGACTGCCTCTGTCTTGTTCACTGGTATGAAAAGCTCTAGATCAGAGTGTTCAGCACACAGTAGGCCTTCAGGATTTTATGAATTCTTTTCAAGTGGTAGCATTTTACAGAAAAATAAATTGYTTTACCAGAAAAAAAAACATATAGATTATTGGCATTTTAGATATCTTCTAGTTAAGGGTAAAGAGAGAGTAAGACTAAAGAATAAATGCYTGTTTCTTCCTAGTGAGTTGGTTACAGATGCCAATTTTATACTCTGATWTCTTGGGTTCTTTAATCATATTTATACAAACGCCTTTGGCGATTTACTTAAAACCTTTAACTCTGAAAGTGATGACGCCAAACTCCTGAGATTCTTGTACTGTAATACAACTCCCTACCGGTTCAGGTCTCCTTGGCGTTCCTACCCTGCCAGCATGTAGTTCAGAAGAAGAGCGACCTCTTCCCATTTCTCAGCCCTCCTTCCCTCTCCCAGCCTCCGCCTCCGCCTCCGCCTCCTTCCTCATCAGCGGAAGATCCTGGCCTGGCTCTGAGAAAGGTTGGGAGAAGGAGACCCGGCGCTTAGCGCTCTTCCGCAGCACCCCCACACCACTTCTCCAGGCCAGTTGCTGGCACCCATTGGCTTTCCAACTACGCTGCAAATGCACTTTCATATCGAAAGCAAATCATCTTTCCTACAGTAAACAAGGGACCGCTGGTGAATCTGTGTGTTTACGCTTGCTTTCATGTCTCCCACCCCCGGCTGCTGAGGGAATTGATTGGTTCGCTGGCACCCTTGACACTCGGGGAGGCCAAGCCCCCCCWCTCGCCCCTCCCGGACCCCGCCCCCTCGCGCGGCCATCTGCTTGGCAGTCTGTCCCCCAGTCTCTCACCCGGCCCCTTTTACCCCTTCATCACTCTGCCACCTCCTCTTCTCCCCACCGCCCCCTTGCCCGGCGCCGGCTCCGCCTCTTCCCCCTCCCCCCGCCCCAGGCTCAAAATCTTCCCCGGCCGTTGCCCGGGAGACGAGCCGATACCAGGCAAATAGGCATTCGAGAAAGAAAAGGGGGGAAAGCTACTCCGCATCCTGGTAACAAAGGAGCAATAAAAGCAGCCCCCAAATGGGGACTGAGGACGCGTCTGGGAGAAAATCCGAAAGCGAGCAAGCAATCACCCCAAATTAAAACGGAGAGGGGGGTGTGGAGAGGCAGGGACACGTTTCGCGTAGTTGGGTGGGGGGKCGGGAGGCATGAGCAACCTAAAATGAGCATTTGGAAATCTCCTGGATGGTGGTGTTGGATCAGCCCAGTTGGCTTTTCAAGTTGGAACTCTGCTAATACACGGGATTCGCGTCCATCCTGGCGGCTGGGGACGTGGGCCAAGCCAGCAGGCTCCCTTAAGGGTGACGATAACACGTTTGTTGGCAAGATGCATTTCTAAGGAAACGTCTCTACATCTGTTCTTTGGAATACGACTTCGTGATTGAATAATACACCTGAAGGAACTGGACAGTGAGAAAATGAAGCTTCACCTAACGATGTTCAGCTTGGTTATTTTTTTAAAGCAACACTCGAACAAAGACTTATTGGCTTGAACCAACTGTCCTTTTCACTCAGAGTGTGACCTATTTCCCTACAATGAGCAGAAAATAAAGCTGTTTGAGAATTCAGAGCCAGCATCCAGAGAAATGAACCATTCCCTCGACTGCTTCTCACTTCCATAAGGGAAAGATGATTCACATTACAGGATCACTAAATGTAAACGAGAATAGATGGTTTGGCTTTTTCCCGAGTAAAAATGTGGGTGGTAGAGGAATACGTATTAGGCTGTATCCTGGAGCCCCACCTCCATCGCCCAGATACGTTAAATCAATGTCTTGTCTTTTACACACTAATAGCCTCTGGTACTTTGGTGGCACTGGGTGAGTGTAGAGGCCAAGGGAGGTATCCTGTTCGTACCAATATGAAGCTTTTCCCTTCGCTCAAGTTAGACCTGAAGCGTCCAAAGGTTTTTCTTAGGGTCTCTCAACATACAGGCAATTTCTTCTTAGAATTGTAATCCGGTTGTTTAGAATTTCATAGCTGCTGCCTGCCTCCATTCCTTTCAGGAGCACACTCGCTATCGTGTACACACACACACACACACACACACACACACACACACACACACGTTCCAAAAGGAGAGTCCCTCTGATGTTGGCAGTAGGCTGAAAACGACCCATATTGACACGAGTAACAGCATCCCAACTGTAAATATAGATTCGTCTACTAGAGTCTGTGTCTCATCACAGAGGAAAATTAATTGTATCATTTCATACAATGATCATAATGCAAGCATTTTAGATCTTCTGTAAATGTCCCTTAATTTATATGGTGAGAAACAATCACTAATTGGGAATAGGCAAAGAGACGAATTTGATGAGCTCCGAAGGCCAATCTCAAAATATTTTATTTCATGCCAACGTGGGAGAGGGAAGGGAGTGTGTGGCTTCGGCTCTTTGCTGCTTTTGCATTTTCCACATCTGGCCTACAGACCTAATTCCAACTCGCGATCTCGTTTGGTGAAATTCGATCGTCGTGGTTTAAATACCTTTCAACGTGGGACGATTTAACAATTGCTGCTGTTAAAAAAACAAACCCTGAGCGCTATCTGTGAAACCCATATGGAACGCGGAGAAGGAAAACATGCTGCAAACACACAAACGCTACCCATTGTCTTTAACACTCGCACACACATACATATACATAAACACTCGGGAAAGATGGGGGAGGGGAGCAAGTGGAGAGAGACAGACACGGATATAGACCGACAAGAGTCGGTGCGAGTCAAGTTAACGCTTTCTCCGCCTCCATCCACAAGTACCCCCCTCCCGCGTTAATTAATTCCAAACAAAGCAAGCCAATCAAGGGATGCATTATTATTTTCAAGCAGAGGGAGGCAAGAGGCATGTATTTTTTAATTGATTTATTTATTTGGAGGACATTAATTCTCTGTCTGAAGCTGATTTTCAAACCGTTTGCAAAGCGCGGCTCCATTGTTCGCCGGGCGCGCAGGCCCCGCCCCCTGCTTTGTGTGCGGCGCGCGGATTGGCCGGCGCGCGCGGGGGCCGCGTCAGCGCCCGCGAGCCCATTCATCTGTGCACTTGGGCGTTGGACCCCGCATCTTATTAGCAACCAGGGAGATTTCTCCATTTTCCTCTTGTCTACAGTGCGGCTACAAATCTGGGATTTTTTTTTTATTACTTCTTTAAAAAAAAAGAACTACACTTGGGCTCCTTTTTTTGTGTGCTCGACTTTTCCACCTTTTTCCCTCCCTCCTGCGCTGCTGCTTTTTGATCTCTTCGACTAAATTTTTTTTATCGGAGTGTATTTAATCGGTTCTGTTCTGTCCTCACCACCCCCACCCCCTCCCTCCGGTGTGTGTGCCGCCGCTGCCGTTGCCGCTGCTGCTGCCGCTGTTGCTGCTCGCCCCGTCGTTACACCAACCCAAGGCTCTTTGTTTCCCCTCTTGGATCTGTTGAGTTTCTTTGTTGAAGAAGCCAGCATGGGTGCCCAGTTCTCCAAGACCGCAGCGAAGGGAGAAGCCGCCGCGGAGAGGCCCGGGGAGGCGGCTGTGGCCTCCTCGCCTTCCAAAGCGAATGGGCAGGTAAATTCTACCTGTAGTTCTGGTCATTTCTTTGGTGTCTTTCTCTAGTCTCGAGAGAAGCTTCCTTTCCTTCTGTTCGCGCCCGGGGCGCGTTCGGTGAAGAAGAGCGTGGCCGGATTCTAGTCTGAAAGTTGAATAGAAAAGGATAGCCTAAATAGTCAATTTTTCATGGAGGGCTACCTCCATCCCCCATCCCAAAGAAGTGGTTCCGGAGAATCCTGGCGCATTCTTGAGTAGACGGGAGAAAAAGAGTGATAAATCGTCTAAAATGGCGTGGTTTGGAGGATGGCAGAACGTGACTAGCTAGATGTCCCCCCCCTTAAGCCAGGGTGCATTTGTATTTGGGGGCACAATGGTTTTGGGGTAGCCTTCGTGTTTGTTGTTGAGACTGGGTCGCCTTCGAGATATCTGAACTGGTGGTGGTGGTGGTGGTGGTGGTGGTGGTGGTGTGTGTGTGTGAGAGAGAGAGAGAGAAGGGGGGAAACGTAAATGGGGATGGCGTTGGGAAAAGGCAAAAAGGCAAGGGCTGTCTTATTGTATGTCGAGGCGGTGTGCCCTGTGTTCTAGGAAAGGTGGCTGGCTGAACTGGACATAAGGCTTTCGGTATATTTCGGTGGGGCTTTCCCACTGTCTGAATCTTATTTGTAGCTGTCTGTGGAATTACACACCCATTTGACTTCTAAAGGCAATCCCTGGGGTGGGAACCTTCGGTGGATCTTTTGAGAAGCTCTCCAGATGGTTTTTGCGTTTCGGTTAGGGTTGTTCGTGTGCGTGGCGTTTCGGCCACCCGCGAGGGGCCGCCCCAGCGCTGCCCGAACCCAAGCAGCTAGCCACGGTTGGGTGGGCGCGAGAGGTCGGCCATGGGTGGCTGCTTCACAAACACTGGGCACCCACCACGCCTCTTTTCCTAGAGCGGAGACCGTGTTGCTTCGCCTGGGCTAATCTACTGGGGTAAGACAGACTCTGCCAGTTGCTTCAAAACCCGTTAAAAATGCAAAATGAACTGCCCGGCTTTGCCGAATCAGGGGCGAAGGTGGTTGTGGAAGCACAAGCAAGACCTCAGAAATAATGGGTTTTCCCCATCCTTGTAGGTTTGAACCCGACCCAGGGGCTGGGAAGCCACCTGAGCTTTGTTTGCGGACTCTTCGGGTAGCACGATCCCAGCTCGGGGGCGCCTTGGCCTGCGGGCAGGGCCCGGCTGGGCAGGGCGGGGTGGCCAGGCGGCCCCGCCCCTCTTCGCTTGCCTGCGCCCAGCTCTGCGAGATGGAAGCGCAGCGCCCTCTACCGGTCTCAAGGCCAAGGGCGCATGCAGTGCCTTAAGTGCGCAGAGCGGGCGCTCCTGGCTGGAGTGCTGTGATCCCCCGGGGTATTCTCAGTGTTTTGACGAGGCCTYTAGGGTTTAGGGAGAAAAGCGGATGTGTGACCTAGGCACAGACCACCAGCTAGGGCTGTGTGCCTTCTTTCAAAGGGCATTTGCTGTATCCAGTATTACTGGCTCCTTTTCCAAAGCCCGTGAGGCAAGGGCTGGAAGAGTTATCCATTGCCTTCCACATTTCGGGTTCGGTCCTTAGGACATCTACTGGATGTGGAGGCTCTTGCTGTGCTTTTTGGGCTTCCCAAACGTCGCTGCCCCATTTGTTCATCCAGGGGGCTCTTGGCTCGGCCCCAACCCTTCCTCCCCATAACTGCGGGACCGAGGGATTCTGGACCCTGAGCTGCCTTAGGGAATCTGGTCTCTCCGGCCCCTGGGGTGGGGAAGGAACAGCGGTTTGCCCGGGCCGCATCTGTGACGCTCCCACTTTCTCTGCCCCGCAGGAGAATGGCCACGTGAAAGTAAACGGGGACGCTTCGCCCGCGGCCGCCGAGCCGGGCGCCAAGGAGGAGCTGCAGGCCAATGGCAGCGCTCCCGCCGCCGACAAGGAGGAGCCCGCGGCCGCCGGGAGCGGGGCTGCGTCCCCTGTCTCGGCCGAGAAAGATGAGCCCGCCGCCGCCGCCGCCGCCTCCGAGCCTGGGGCCGGCCCTGTGGAGAAGGAGGCCTCCGCCGAAGGCGAGGTCGCGGAGCCTGGCTCGCCCACGGCCGCCGAGGGGGAGGCTGCCTCGGCCGCCTCCTCGACGTCTTCGCCCAAGGCCGAGGACGGGGCCACACCCTCGCCCAGCAACGAGACCCCGAAAAAAAAAAAGAAGCGCTTTTCCTTCAAGAAGTCTTTCAAGCTGAGTGGCTTCTCCTTCAAGAAGAACAAGAAGGAGGCGGGAGAGGGCGGTGAGGCCGAGGGCGCTGCCAGTGCCACCGCGGAGGGCGGCAAGGACGAGGCCGCCGGGGGCGCCGCTGCCGCCGCTGAGGCGGGGGCGGCCCCCGGGGAGCAGGCGGAGGCGCCGAGCGAGGAGGCCGCCGCGGGCGAGGAGGGGGCGGCAGGTGGCGACCCGCAGGAGGCCAAGCCCGAGGAGGCCGCCGTCGCGCCAGAGAAGCCAGCCGCCTGCGAGGAGCCCAAGGCCRCCGAGGAGCCCAAGGCCGCAGAGAAGGTGGAGGAGGCCGGGGCCAGCGCSGCCGCCTGTGAGGCGCCCTCCGCCGCGGGGTCTGGCGTGCCCCCTGAGCAGGAGGTGGCCTCCGTCGAGGAGCCCGCGGCCGCCTGCGCCTCGTCTGCCTGCGCAGCCCCATCACAGGAGGCGCAGCCCGAGTGCAGTCCAGAAGCGCCCCCAACAGAGGCGGCAGAGTAAAARGGCCAGAGGTTATGAGATAATCGAAGAACTTTTCTCCCCCGTTTGTTTGTTGGAGTGGTGCCAGGTACTGGTTTTGGAGAACTTGTCTACAACCAGGGATTGATTTTAAAGATGTTTTTTCTTTCTTTTCTTTCTTTTTCTTTTTTCTTTTCGTCTTCTTTTTTTTTTTTTTTTGACTTTTTTTAAGCAGTAAATTTTTTTCCCCTTTCCCCACAGATCCCATCTCAAATCATTCTGTTACCACCATTCCAACTGGTCGAGGAGAGCTTAAAACACCTTCCTCTGCCTTGTTTCTTTTTTCTTTTTTTATTTTTTATTTTGCATCAGTATTAATGTTTTTTGCATACTTTGCATCTTTATTCAAAAATGTAAACTTTCTTTGTCAATCTATGGACATGCCCATATATGAAGGAGATGGGTGGGTCAAAAAGGGATATCAAATGAAGTGATTAGGGGCCACAATAGAGAAAATGAAGTGGTGCATGACATTGCCAAGATAATGTGCCACTAGAAATGATGGTGTAAAGGCTTAGTCTTTTTTTTTTTTAAAGAAAAGTTATTACGATGTATTTTGTGAGGCAGGTTTACAACACTACAAGTCTTGAGTAAGAAGGAAAGAAAAAAAAAAAAAACACCAATACCCAGATTTTAAAAAAAGATCATAGTCTTAGGAGTTCATTTAAACCATAGGAACTTTTCACTTATCTCATGTTAGCTGTACCAGTCAGTGATTAAGTAGAACTACAAGTTGTATAGGCTTTATTGTTTATTGCTGGTTTATGACCTTAATAAAGTGTAATTATGTATTACCAGCAGGGTGTTTTTAACTGTGACTATTGTATAAAAACAAATCTTGATATCCAGAAGCACATGAAGTTTGCAACTTTTCACCCTGCCCATTTTTGTAAAACTGCAGTCACCTTGGACCTTTTAAACACAAATTTTAAACTCAACCAAGCTGTGATAAGTGGAATGGTTACTGTTTATACTGTGGTATGTTTTTGATTACAGCAGACAATGCTTTCTTTTCCAGTTGTCTTTGAGAATAAAGGAAAAAAAAAAACTTCAGATGCAATGGTTTTGTGTAGCATCTTGTCTATCATGTTTTGTAAATACTGGAGAAGCTTTGACCAATTTGACTTAGAGATGGAATGTAACTTTGCTTACAAAAATTGCTATTAAACTCCTGCTTAAGGTGTTCTAATTTTCTGTGAGCACACTAAAAGCGAAAAATAAATGTGAATAAAATGTACAAATTTGTTGTGTTTCTTTATGTTCTGATAATACTGAGACTTCTAGGTCTTAGGTTAATTTTTAAAAAGATCTTGCATGCTATCAAGAGTAAATTTGGTTGTGATTTTTAATCTGAAGTTTTTCAAGCTCTGAAATCCATAATCAGCAGTGTCTGATTACATATATAGGAAGATCTTATATAACATTCCATGTTCAATCTGTTACCACTTATCTGCATTTAGTTTTCATTTAAAAATTGAACATAACTTTTTATTGTAGCTATATAGCATGTCAGATTAAGTCACTTAGAACAAAAGTGGTGTGACCCTAAGACTATTAAATGTCTTATGAGAATATTTCATAAAATAATTTTCTTATCATACAGGTCCAGAAACTTAAATTTTATAAAATGAGARTCTATTGAATCTGAACCACAGATGGGTCATGAAAAGTGGCCAAATGTGTTTTAAAAGTTGATGGTGTATTACCTGCCATTGTAATTGCTTAGCAGTTGGCTAATTTCCAAATTATTGCTTAGATTATGTTATACCTTAAGAAAACAGACTTATGTAATGAAGTTATGGTGTCAAATGGACAACCTTGTCAATTTATGGGCCTTTAGCATAGTTGCAACCATTTTTTATTTTAATGAAAGTATATTAGCAGCTTGTTACTCAAAAGAAATGATAAATACTCTATGTATTAATCCTTCCTAGTTTACCTCTCTGCTCTTTAGCACTCCATAACTGGATATTTTTGTTCACTGGATGCTATATCGAATTTTAATATTTATCAAATACCATTGCTTTTAAAATGCATAATTGTTAATGCGCAGCTGTTTTGCTGTTTTTGAGCAACTTGCAATGGTAGGGTTCATGAAAAACCAGTGAACTGCAATTGTAACACCTGAATGCCAAAATCTTACTAGGAAAATAACAAATTAGCTTTTTGATGTGCTCTTTTAATTGGAATAATGGGTCAAAAATAATGGTTCATGACTTCTCTGTACTAAACACCCTCCCTACTAATAAAGTCAAGTAACATTTGGAAGGGTGTGTATTTTTAGAATTTCTTGATCTTGGAGGATGTTTGTAAGTTAAAAATCAAATCTGGTAACCAAAGGACTGATTTATGGGTCTTTCCCACCTTAACTAACTTTTTTGCAAATACCTAGTTGGCCAAGTACAGTGCCTGGCATGTAGTAGGGCTCAGTTAAAAAAAAAAAAAATAACTCCCAAAGTGAGTTGTGAAAAATACTGTGTAGAAAACTATTATAAATTGCTAGTTTTGTTCTTTTAACCGCTGGGATTTATTAAGATGCATTATTTTGATTTTAATCACTGCCTATACACTTTGGGTGGTATTGAGGGAGTGATGGATTTTCCTCCAAGTTATTAAATGAAATTTGACATATCTTTTCATCCAAAGTTTTGTACATCATGTTGTTTTCTAATGGAAAAATGTTAATAATGGCTTTTTTGTACTACTAAAAATAGCTTTGAGATTAAGGAAAAAATAAATAATTCTTGTACAGTTCAGTATTGTCTATTAAATCTGTATTGGCAGTATGTATAATGGCATTTGCTATGGTTATAAAATACTTCCTCTGGATTATAATAATCATTTGGTCCAATTCCTATTGCTTGTAAAATAAAGTTTTACCAGTTGATATTATCAAGCCTGCTAAAATAGGATTTTTTACAAAGTTTATTTTCAAACATAAGTTTTTAGAGAAAAGTTTAAAACTTTAGGTATTAAAAGGTTTACTATTATTCAGTTGATAGGATTTAGAGGATATGTTTTGATATTGTACTCGAATACAAAATTATTATACATTGAAGATGATCTATTTGCCCACAGGTCAATTTTAACTATAGAACTTGATAACTGACAAATGCTGCAATTCATGTATGTTTTTTCATCATATGAATTAGAAACAAACAATAGAACTTTGCAATTTAGCTTAAGGATTTAAGGGTAAGGTGCTCTTCGAACTCCTAATTTAGATAGATTCTTGAATAGCAAGTGGAAAGGTAGTGTAATTTAATATAGTCCAAGTTTTAACTTTAAAAATCAGTTAAGTAATAGACTATTAGCCTCTGCCTTCCCTTTAATCATTCACTGGGAACACTGAGCATTTTTTTTCCCCTTCCATTTCCCAGTTATATGCAAGTATTTAAAGCAAGGTGTAGCAAACAGAATTTTAAAATGCTTTTCATCATAATTCTCCCAGTCCCTGTTGAGATTATAATTTGAGCACTCCTTTAAATTATGCCCAAGAATGCCATTCTGAAAATGGAAATAAATACTTTAAAAGGCTAGGTGTGAATTTTAATAAATTTGTGTTAAGGTTTTCTTTGTGTTTTTGATGTTTAAAAAAGTATTAAATAGGTTTGTAGTTGACCAAMACTAAAGGGATTGTCTTTTTTTTCTAGTAATATAGCAATTACAAATGAATTACATATAAGAAACAAACATCAAGGCTACATATTTGTATTTTTTTAAGTTAAATATAGGACAAGGTGAAATTGAGATAATTTTTTGTCTAGAATATATTCAACCAAAGAGGCACTTTGAAATCCCTGTTTCTAAGACACACATGGAAATACATCTTATTGTTTATAATTACGACTTTCATGGAAACGAAATCATAATCATTCCTAGTTTGATCTGCCTAATACATAGAGATAATGATTTTCTAGAAGTCAGACCTTTCCTTCACAGATGAAGATTTGACATCATTTGAAAAAAAAAAAACTTTCTATGTAGTAAATATGTTTTTTTCTTTTAATATTTTTTTAGTTGTAGATGGACACAATACCTTTATTTTATTTATTTTTATGTRGTACTGAGGATCAAACTCAGTACCTCACATGTGCTAGGCAAGTGCTCTACCACTGAGTTATAATCCCAGTTCATAGTAAAGATTTCTTTTAAGATTTTCTAAGAATATTTTGAATCTTGGAAGCATCAACTAAGATTTGAGTAGTTTGAATTTATGAGTAAACTTTTCAAGAAAGCTCTCGGGGAAAACTCAATTGGGGTATATAAATTGTGTTTCATCCTAGGGGAAAAAAAAGTACAATACTTTATAAACTTGTAATGGAAATGTGAACAAAACACCTTTTATTCTCATTTGTTGGGATTTGAATTTTAATGTTCAAAAATAAAACGTGTAACACTTTATATAATTGGGGTAATTAAAAGTTTTAACTCCACATCACAAACATAACAACCATCTTCTATCAAAACATGAGCGTTCTATATAATCATCTTGTTTCCTTGGAGCTTTAAATGAAAAATGCAGAACTGAGTGGTATGGTATATCCTTAGAAATACAAGGAGGAAAAAGAAGTAAAATCATTTTTCATAGTTAACTATTTAAATCTGAAGGATTCAGTTTAAAGATAATGTCAAGACAGTTGAATTAGTTTTTGCCTTGAGTCTATATTATGCTTAGTAATGATGTAATAATGTGTGGAAAACATATTTAAGTGAGGGGCAAGACCTTTATTTAGCATTACACATTCTTACACTATTTTGCTTTCTCTGTGGTCAGTGACTGACACTTTTTAAATAGGTTATGACACTTTCTTGACTATAAGTCTTTCCCTCCTCTTCCTCACATGTCCTTCCTCCAGCTCAGTGCTCCAAAAAGGAAATCCAACCACCCCAAACTGCCCATGTGGAAACTAAACAAAGATACTGCCTCAGGAATTGTTTGGAAGGATATGTAGAATGTAAAGTTATTGTTCAGAGATTMTTTGTTGACTTTTGAAGACAATTTAGCAGGAGCAAAAAAATTTAAGGATGTTAAGAATAAGACTTAATTGCAAGGAGTCTTAAAATTTGACTCCAAAGACAATTTCTTTCCTATTTTACTGGCTTAACTTTGTTTTTGAAACTGGTATTTTTCATTATTTGTTTTCTTAGCAATTCCCAAAGATTATATTGATGATCTTGGAAACTGGCATAGAAGGATGTAGATGATGGACGAAATTGAAAGGTTTAAGGTTTTTAATTCTGCAAGTTTTGAACCACTGACCTGCCAACTAAGAACCATAGATCCTTTGTATTCAAAGGTTCTGCATCTGCAGATTCAACGAATTGTAGATTTAAAATACTCAGAAAAAATTATTTCTGTATGGAATATGTATGGACTTTTTTCCTGCTGTCATTCCCTAAACAATATAGTATAACAACTRTTTACATAGGATCTATCCTGTATTAGGCATTATAAGTAACTTATAGATGATTTAATATATATAGGAGTATATGTGTAGGTTACATGCAAATACTATTCCATTTTATGTTAGGAATTTCAGCATCCWCAGATTTTGTTATTTGTGTTGGGAGGATCACATATAAGTGTTRGTACATCTCTAAATTTTGGTTGGGATTTTATGCCTAGATATCTTCCATTACAGACAACTTTAATGAAATTAATCTACCTCTACACTGTAGTATAATTATAGTTAAATATCATCAAAATCTATTAGTATAACATCTTACTCCCTGTACTGAGAACAATGTCTGGAATGTATAGGCATGAGGAAACCCAGCAACCACTTGCCACCGAAGACTTATGTGTTAGCACATAGCAAAGCAGCACTCTAAACAGAACATGCTGGTCAACAAACAATACCAATTAACCTATCAAAATATTAAAATTTCTATCATCAAGTGTGCGTCACAGAAATTGGCAATGTTTAAAATAATTGTACTAAAAAAAAATAAGAAAAAAGATTAAAGGAAGATACTCATTATAGAGCCCAGAGTCTTATATGGCAAAATTAACTGTCATTTTTGTATAAAGACATTTTAAGAAAGTTGAATTTAAGTGCTCATAGGATAACATTTCCTTCTAAGTAAATTACCAACTAGAGCAACTTATTTTAGCGTTTTTAGTAAATTTGCAAGTATCATATGAACAATAGTCTAAAATAGCACTTGAGGGCTGGGGTTGTGGCTCAGTGGTATCACGCTTGCCTGGCATGCATGAGGCAATGGGTTCGATTCTCAGCACCATATACAAATAAATAAAATAAAGATCCATCAATAACTTTAAATAAATAAATAAATAAATAAATAAATAAATAAATAAAATAGCATTTGAAAGGAATTGAGGGCAACTGGCAAGATTATAAAGAAAAAGGAGTTTATGGACTTGGTCAGGTCATATAAAATATTAATTATTAACTGGAAAAATCAATTATCTAAGCAGTGTCATTTTCATCTAGTCTCTGTGGCATTATCTAGTTCATTAATTGGACTGAAATAGTACAGTGAATATCTGTCCTTTTCTYTTATGCTACCTGATGTTTTATAAGCATGAGTTACTACCAGGAAGTTGGGAATTTTTAAAATTYGGATAATAACGCTAGCTTTTAAAACGTTTTTGGTGGATAGCTTGTAAATTTAAATTTTTCATGTAGTCTTGAAACAAACAATAGCTTGTTACATACATATATAAATGTACCTAAAAGAATTTCACCTGTATATATGTACACATAAATATAACATATATCAGTACATAACAATAAAAAATAATTAAAGGAGTGAAAGGAAGACGGAGAGAAGAAAAGAGAGCAGGAGAAGGAAAGAAAAAGGGAGGGGGAATGGGGACTGAAATCAAATTCCTTGTATGTATTATTTTGTCAAAAAGAACCCAAATACTATAATGCTCTAAAAATATTTCATATGGTCTAGAAATGAATTTTTTTTGTTCAGATCAAGAAAACTGTTAATAGAATCAATTTTTCAAAAAGCATGCTTCGTCTCTATTTTTTTGGAAGGTGGGGATGGAGGGGGTGGTACCAGGAATCATACCGTCTACCACTGAGCTACATTACCAGTCCTTTTCAATTTTTAGACAGGGTCTGTAAATTACTAAGATTGGTCTTGAAATTGTAATTCTTCTGCTTCACTCAGCCTCCTGAGTGACTGGAATTATAGGTGTGTGCCACAACCAGGTCCAGCTTCCTACCTCTTATTGTCCTGAACTCTAATTTTGTTATCCAAAGTATATTTGTAAGTTATCTATACAAATTGGGAGTTAATAGGCATGTTTGCTTTCCATTATTAATGTTTGAATTTTTAAAAATAAAAATTTTCTCTATTTTCAACTTTATGATTTTCCCCACTGGCTGCATTAATTCTTTGGAAAATATTAACATATTTTCTGAATAACTTTTAAATTATAAAGGACAGTAGTTGAATGAAATTTTAGATTTGGTTACATTTATAACCAAAAGTTGATTCTCTAAAATTCTTTGTGTGAATGTCTTTAATTTTGGGTTTTTTGTTTTTGTTTTTGTTTTAACGACTGATTAATCTTTTATAACARAATTGTAATAGTAACCATTATGGACATCTGATCTACAATAAAGAAGAAAATTGGCAAAATAAACTTTTTTTTTCTTTTTTTTTTTTTGTCCCTCTGCAAGTCTCATTCCTAAGCCTTGTATTTGTAATGTTTTTTTTTTTTTTTCCAAAAAAGGATATGAGAATGAAATAGTAGATTAGATATTCAAGTGCTGGAATCAAAGGGACTTGGCTCTGTCATATGCAAACTTTTGTAATATTAGGTATTTTACTCTATCCACTTGAGCCTCAGCTCTATTG